AAAAAACAAAAACAAAAAGGGGGTAAGTTTACAACTCCGTATTACACAGTTGGAAACCTTTAATATCAATCACAAAGGATTTAAAACAGAAAAATTGAGTGAAAAATGAACAAAACTCATGAGATGCTTACCATTGCTTGATATTTCAATGTTATTTAATAAACGCAACTTTGGAAACAAAGGATTGTAGAGAACCGAGGATCAAAGCAAGTGCTACAGAACAAGAAACACGGCTTTATAAAAAAAAAAAAAACCTGTGGATAGCAGTAATTCCTATTCTACAAATTTCATTCCTACCAACCCCAGAAAGAAGAAACGAGGTTTTGGTCTCACTGTTCTTTACGATCTTTAGGCCTGGAAGGCTTTGCAGGCACTATGTATCCAAGGAGAATCAGTACTATGGGAAGAATGGTTCCTATGTAATACACGCTCCCGTATGAAGCAAGTGTCTCATGCAAGCTTAATACCTGCAGCGTGTGAGAGGGAAAAGATCAGAACACTGTACAATTAGAGCTTCTATTTCCAGAAAATGATGATACAGGAGTGAAGTTGCATGTATGTGGTTGTGTGAGAGACATAGAGAACTAACCATAAAACCAACACAGGAATAATTCAGAACCAAAACTGAATAAATAAAGTTCATGAATCCCACTGCCTTCTTCACAACAGCCATATTTTGAGGCACAGCTTGCTGCCACCGGTAAATAACTGTTCCAGAAGCAAAAAGGTTAGAAGTAAAGAAAAGGTAGTCACGAGAACAAATCAAGATAAGATTAAGCTTGTCCATGATGGTACCTCTTGAACCGGCAATCATCAAAGCTGACTGAACAAAGAATATGATGTATCCTGGGTACAATCCCTGTAATTGTCAAGAAGACATGGGGAGAAAAAGTTTAGAACATAGACAAGACAAATTGCCGTATACCATTATGTAGATTGAAGAATTATTGGGCACAAAAAGAATACAAGGAAATCATAGGGAATCAATTGGACAACAACCTTACTCATCAATTGGCAATAGATGGAGGGACCCAACTTAAATATAGCAATGTCACTACTTAGAGTGTCATATTTTGAATAGAACAATCTACACGTTAGTTTATTCTCACTTTTCTTTATAAATTGCAGAAAAGAAAAATGCTTTTTCATAAATAAGTAAATGGTTACTCACGTGCCAAACAGCACTGACAGTCTGAGTTGCCAGCAACTGGAAAAAACCAGGTTTCGTACCCTTCTTGACAAGTCTTTCATAAACATCTGCAGCAGCCCCCGAAAAAAAAAAGAAGTTATGTTTCTAAATATTACTTTATTTGGTCATCCGTAGTTGAGGTCTGTGCCTGACATATCACTAAATTAGGAAAGACTGAGTTTCTGGCTCAGTCTCAGTGGCAATAAAATTAACAAATTAAAATGATAACCAAGAAAAAAACAGGAAGAGAAAAATATCAAATTTTAGCAGCTTAAGACTCACAATGACGAAGCCAGGTGCTGACTTGTATGTTCCACACAAGTGGCAACTCAACTGAACTCTTTACTAACTCAACTCGCAAAATATCAACATTTTTTGCACGATCCCACCGTGGCTTTGGTGGTGAAGAATCTGTCCAGCCACTGAAACCTAAGCCAGAAATAATAATGGAAGCCTCCGAAATTGACCAGATGAAATAATATTTCCAACGCGCTGTAAAGCCAGACATATACTGGTAACTCAACCGCTTCCAGAATCCCCATTCTTGGTATATAGGATCAGTAAAGCGGGACAAGGGATAGTGTGGTACAAGGTAAAGATACACAGCCATGCAAATAGCAGCTTGGGCAACAGCTCGGAAAGCTGCTCCAAAAGGTGATGGGGGTGGCCCTCTCCCTGACTGAGCCCAAATCTTAAAAGGAAAAAATTAAGAGAAAAATTATCAAAGGTGCAAATTAGCTACTTCTGATATAAAAATAGAAAAAGTGGCATAGAGACACATGAACCACAAAACACCATAAACAAACCTACCCCCTTGCCTTCAGTCCACTCAATGTAGTCCTTCATCTCATAAACTGGGCCAGCAAAGTGACTACCACAGCAAAGGCAGTAACCAAAATATTCAATCAATGAAGGCAACTTAATCAAGCGATATTTCTTCTGAGCCTCACGCAGGCCTTCCTCTTTCAACAATCCATCATTGTAATTCATTGCACAAGAGATGACTTTCAGTGTCAAGACCATCAAGGCTCCTAAAATTGGGAGTTAGTGATTCACAATAAGTAGTTTTCACCAGACACTCCACTAATACGTTTTACGGTTGAAAAAAGAACAATAAAAACTAAGAATTATTATTCATCGAGAATCAAGTACCAATTGAAGAAGTGAATCTTATAACAAAGTTATCAAAGAAGATCATACTGAGAAGTTATTTACCCTAATTAAGGAAAATAACAATAAAGAACAGAAAACTTATCATTTTTACTTTTGTAAAGATGGAAATCCAAAATCCAAATAATAACAGTAATTATAATTGAAAACAGTTCACTGTGCTTACCAGTTGCATCGATACCTCCTTCCTTCCATGCATCTCCACTCATATAATATACATGGCTACAAATGTGTAAAAATATATAAATTATCAAGAATTCTGAAATAATCAAGCATTATTCACGAAATTTGAATGTTTCATGCATGTGTTAAAAGATTTTCAAAAAAATTCAACATGCAATTAAGTACTACTTTAAGACAACAGCATGACTAAGGAGATAATCATTCGCTTGAAAAAGTCATCAGCAAAAGCTTCTCTCAATAATTAGACTAATAATAGGTTGTATAATGAAGTCACTACATAATGCTTTAATTTCTCATAACTAAAGGAACTAATGTGCCTTAATGCCTCCTAATGTCTTAATTTCTCATTACTAAAGGAACTAATGTGCCTTAATGCCTCATAATTTTGGTTAAAGCCTTAAAGCCTCATAACTAAAGGAACTAACCTTCCACATGCAGTTATGTAATAACAATAAACAGTTCCTTGTATGCCATTTATCAAGAAGACCTCATGCTAAGGCAAAAGCAAGAGAAAAATCTTAACATGCAAATTTGCAATTATGTAATAAGTACTGAATGTCAAGCAAACAGTTTTTTGCATGCCATTTACCATGAAGACCACATGCAGTTTGTATTTTTCAACAGTTTACAAATAAGAAGTGGATTTCAACTTTTAAGACAAACCATACAGTGCTACGCCAATGATTGGTGAAAATATACCCTAAAAATTCAACTACTCAGGCAAAGAGTATGAATGTCATTGGCCTCTTTTCAAAGTAACCCAACAATAGAGTTTGGAAATACTAAAGTTTTCAATTTTAAATGCTTCAAATGTTTCAGCCTTCCTAATTTTCTGTCTTACTACGAAATGTTAGGCTCCTCCATTGCTAATGACCTCTCTCCTATAGTTATGCAATGCAACTTCTCATGCTTACAATGTGAATTTTCTCACAACATAAATTACCCTCTCAGGCTTCTGTTTGATTATATTATTGAGAACCAATCTCTGAGGTTCCCATTTTAAGATCATAATAATTAAACATAACCAGCAGCATGAATCTTTATGCATCATTCCCCTGTATAGACTGCATGATCTCCCTAACTCCTGAATGGTAATGCCCTTATTTCCCAAGTTCAATAATAATAATAATAATAATAATGAATTAAAGTAATTGATTGAGTTGTCCTATTTCCAGCATCATAAACCCAAACGCAAGAATCACGAACCTTCCAAGTGGTGAACCATCAAAAACCCAACAACTAAAAAGACATGATTCAGATGAAAATTTTGAACTTTAGTCAAACTTAACTTGGGTCAATGTCATTCATACAAAACGAAGTAAAAAAATCTTAAATCAAGCAATAAGATAACAAATCCAGCATCTTAGACCCATCAAAACAATCCTAAAATTACTGAGAAATTTGCAATTAGCAACAATTAGTCCCTTAAAAAAGCCAAAAACACTCTAAAGTAAACAGTAAAAAAGAACGGACTTACCAGCCAATCAAATAACCAAACCCCAAGAAAAAGGTGATGATCCCACACTTGGGGCGGTAAAGCAGCATTGCAGCGTAACCCAGGAACATGGGCACCAAGAAATGGAGATTCGAAGAGAACCCAAATGAGAGATAAGACAGGAGCGCTCCTGAAAGCGCCGAATAGAGGTGCTTGGGGAGTCGACCCGGAACGAGCCGCCACAAGAAACTCACAGGAATCGTGGCCACGAAACATAGCAAGAAGCGCAGAACCGGCACCGACACCCCGATCGAGGCCGCCATTGCTTCCATATCAAGGCCCATGATATGGAAATCGAAGTCCGGAAACTTCCTTGAGCTTGACTTTTCGATTCCGATTAAGTTCCCTCTGGGTATTGCTATTGCAGCTTTCCCGTGGAACTGCTCGTGAAAGAACAGAAAAGAAACACCTGATCTCAACCATAATTAATTAATTTATTATTACCTAATTCTTATACAACTTCCAATTAAAAAAAAAAAAAAAAAAGGACTATAGGCTGGAATTGTAGGAATATTATTATCCGTTGGACAAGCTTGTTTCAAAAGAAAAGTGAGCATTGAAGTATGAATTCATAAATGTTGTTTTAATGGGAATGTGAAAGTATTTAAATTGAGGCACATTATCCTTTTATTTCTCTTTTATTTATTTATTGTTACTGTAAAATAATAAAGGGTTTATCTAATTTATATGATAAAAATATAAGATAAAAATACAATAAATATATTTTTTTATAATTAATTTATATTAAAAAATATATAAAAATTAATATATATTTTAACATAATTAACACAGATAATTTTAATTAATTAATTAAATTAATATTAATACTTATATTTTTAATAAAAATTAATTAAAAAATATAGTTATTATATTTTTATAATGTGCCACTCTTTAATTTTTTTTTTATTTATATAGGAAAATGTTTGTTTTGATATTTTTTTAAGTTAGATTGAACAAAAATATTAATTTTTAATGTATTTCAACCCGAGGTACACTTATATGTGAAATAAAAGATGGATGGTACTTGAAGCGATACACTTATGCGTGAAATATAACGCATCATATTTAATGTAAATATTTTTTACTTTACGTGGTAAAGACATAAATTAAGTCTTATTAAATATAATATATAT